AGGGAAAGATCAGGGATGTGAGGCCATAAAGTCCACCCTGCAAAGATGCTGTTTACTCCAGTGGAACAGTCTGGAGAACAGCTGCCAGTTAGGGACAATTTCACCCCACATGTGGATCTTGTCAACCCCAATGGAACAACAGGTAGGTGATTGAGATGTCTTCTGAGTTGACTCACAAGTCGCACCACCATTCCTTTTAAATGGCTTTTGCAAGCCACACAGCATCATGAACCTCACGAACCCGAACTAGTTCATGAACTGAGGGAGGTTTATCCTGGTTTGTGGTTCATTTTTTCGTGGAACCCCATGAACCACAAATCTTCAAAAACCTCAATTGTCCTGATTCCTTTGGGGGACCCTGGAAACCTAGGAATATAAGGGGTAAAACAATCATACAGGTCAAGAGTTTTAAATACCTGGGAGTGAATTTTCATCACAATCTTAGTTGGGCAACACACAGAACAGAGGCAATTAAAATGGCGAATTGCTGTGTGCTTGCACTTACGCGGTTTTATTATACTAAGGGCAATCAGTACGTGCCAGCAGCTATTAAAGTGTTTGTACACCAAACTATTGCTAAGCTCCTCTATGGTATCCCTATTTGGATTACAGCCTTTAACAAGGCAGTTGAACAACTGCAATCCAAATTTTTGAGGAAAATTCTGGGGTTGCCTTTGTCTCCTACGCTGCCATTTGTTTGCAGCTCAATCAGAGAAGGTTGGAGACAAAGGCTTGGATCATCACCTTTAGATTCTGGTTGTGTTTGCATTTTAGATGCACTCATAATAGCCTTGTTGCCTATATGTTGAAAGATTCCCATCCCTCTGCCTGGCTCTCGGCTATTGAAAAGAAAATTAATTCTATTGGTTTTAATCTGAATGATTTTGTCACTTTAACAGAGCCGGAGGTTTTTATTCTGCTTAAGCAGAGACTTATTGATATAGAACTGCAAGAGCTCAGAGCTCTTGCTTCTGGTAGGTGCTCCTCAGTTAGATGGGCCTATCCACTCTCTGGTGCTCCACCACAATATTTTTTCTCTCTGATATCACCGCAATCGTGCACAGCTTATATTCTAGCACGGTTCAATGTTCTCCCCCCTGCTATTCTTGAGGGGAGATATAAGAAAATCCCTTATGCAATTAGATATGCGGATGCAATAAGAGTGAAATAGAAACAGTTGAGCATGTACTTTTATGTTGTAATTTGCTAAATGACATTTGAGCAAAATTTCTGGAAGTCCCCCTTAGCAAGGTAGTATGCCAACCGGACAGAAGCAAGCTACACTACCTCCTTACTTCTCGAGATTCAGAGATTATTGAATTGACTGCCAAGTTCTTTTATGGTCTTATAAAACGGAAAAATGTCCCTGATCATTCTAATTGAGTTCAATGAGTTTGTACAATTTAATTCAAGGTTTTGTGATTGGGCAAAATTTTATCTTGCTATAATTTAAGCTCATATAAATAGACATACCTTTGTAATGCTTTTAGAAGTTATTCATTTTTCATAAATTTTATAGGATTGTTTTACCCTAATGGCAACTGTCTAATATTTTATGCCAATAAAAGGTATTTGTTTGTTTGTGATTCGTGCCCATCCCCAATTTCGAGATATCCATGGTGAGCAAACACCACCCAAACAGTTAAGCCCCCAAACTATCTTTTACAGATGTTCCATTTTTGTGTGCGTACTATCAGAGGAGCTCCATTCCTCGGCAGCTTAAAACAGAACAGCAGACTGTTTTTAAAGTTAGTTGACACTTTTACATAATCCATTCATATGTATGTTCCAGAATAAGAAAATGAAGGGAGTCTTGAAAGATTCTCTAAAATGCATCTTAAATACCTTTATCAAAATGAAAGCAGTATAAAAACAGACATATGTTTCATTTAAGCTCATACATTGATTGGGATATGTACTTTTAAATCAATTTTGAAGCAGTGTTGATTTTTCCAGATCGGTTCCCTGATTTGTCTCAAAACAGCAAATTAGGTTTAGACTCTTGCAGACAGTTGTGTGGAGGAGACATCTCATGAATTTTACCTGTTTACTTCACCCAATATTTCCTGAGCAATCACTCAAAACCAGCTCTATGCTCATGTTGCATATCATTTACTCATTCATTCATCCATCCAAAACATTTCCATGCTGCCTTTCCACCTGATCAGGGTCCCCAGGGCAACAAACACAGGGACATAAGAGAAGCCAATGTTAGATCAGGCCAATGGCCCATCTAGTCCAACACTCTGTCACACAGTGGCCAAAAACACCAGGTGCCATCTGGAGGTCCAGCAGTGGGGCCAGGACACCAGAAGCCCTCCCACTGTTGCCTCCCCCCCCAAGCACCAAGAATACAGTGCATCATTTGCCCCAGACTGAGAGCTCCTATCTGTACCTTGTGGCTAATAGCCACTGATGGATTTCTGCTCCATATACTTATCTAATTCCCTCTTAAAGCCGTCCATGCTTGTAGTCGCCACCCCCTCCTGTGGCAGTAAATTCTATGTGTTAGTCACTCTTTGTTATTCACATGAAGCAAATCAAAACATTTGAACAATTAAAAATATATTTAAAACTATCACATACTTAATAAAAACATGTAAACAAGCAACACCAGAACCAGGAAGGATGGTCAGTAACCATTACTGGAGGTACACAAAACCTCATCAGTTTATGGCAGAGGGATCCACAGCCTCTGGAATCACAGAATTTGCTTCTCCCTGACACAAAACCAACTCATAATCACTCAGAAGATCTAAAGGTCCACCCTAACAGCAAGCCTGAATTCAGTCAGATATTTCTTTCCCATGCAGAGAGAGAGAGAAAATGCATACCTATTTTATGAAGAGGTTAACGGGTTTAAATTTTGACATTCTGACCTAGTTTAATTCCTGGGTTTAGGATTCAGGAAATAACATCTGAGCTTGATTGCTCAGACTGCCAGCTTTTGTCAGCATATAATTGCTCTGTGACCTTTTCCAACCCAAACCAGCAGCTGGACATTAGGAAAACTCAAGAGATTTCTTTTGTATGAATTTCTGCAATGCTTCTTTGACTTCATTGTTCCGGATGGTGTATATGAAAGGGTTGAGCACTGGGGTGACCACCGTGTTGAGCATGGAGACAGCTTTGTTGAGGCTGAAAGACGAGTGCATGGCACTAGGTCTTAAGTAGATGAAAAGCACTGCCCCGTACAAGATGCTGACCACAGTCAGATGAGAGGCACAGGTGGAGAAGGCCCTCCGCCGGCCACTGCTAGAAGGGATGCGGAGAATGGTGGAGATGATGAAGATGTAAGACACCACGGTCAAAAGCAGAGAGGTCAATATCACCGCCACGGCAATGAAGAAGCCAATGGCTTCGATCAGATGTGTGTCGCCCCCTGCAATCTTCAACATCGGTCCTATGTCACAGTAGAAATGGTTGACAACGTTGGAGCCACAGTAGGGGAGCCTCACCACTAATATCGTCTGCAAAAGGATGGTGAAAAAGCCCCCAAACCAGGTGGCCAGGGCAAGCTGAAGGCAGACGCTGGAGGTCATGATGCTGGAATATCTCAGTGGCTGACAGATTGCGACATACCTGTCGAAGGACATGACAGTCAGGATGTAAAACTCTGTGATGCCAAAGAGGAAGTGGAAGTAGGACTGTGCCATGCAGCAGTAGAAGCAGATGGTAGTCTTCTCTGAGACAAGGTTGGCCAGCATCTTGGGGACAACAGCAGTGGTATACCACATCTCAAGGAAAGAGAGGTTGCTAAGGAAGAAATACATTGGCTTCTGGAGTCGGTGATCAACTCTCACCAGGACAATGATGAGACCATTCCCTGCAATTGACAGCACATAGAGTAGGAGGACAATGGCAAATAAAAGTATATTTATTCCCCACACATGAGGGAATCCCAGAAGTATGAATTCTTTTGCCCTTGAACAATTAGTCAAATCCATAACTTAGAAACTGCCAGATTTGGGGTGGGTGGGTCAGAGGTTCACTTGCACAGATACTTATCTTATATGACACTGTTGATGGATGATGCATTTATTCAGTTCTGTATTCTTCCCTATAAAAAGGTGTGTGGTGGGGGACTTCTTATAACATTTGTATCTCCACTCTGCAGAGAGGAAAACCAGTGGGGGGACGATTTCTGGAATTCAGACGGTTCCATAGACAAAATGTGAACGGTGTCATTTTCCAAGACATTGGCTGTGATTCTACACACTCGTACATGGGAGTAAGTCCTGTTGAAGGCAGCATTAATTATTTCTTAGTAGACTTGCTCAGAATCACTCTGTTTTTGCATTTACAGATGATGGTGGGATCATAAACATTATATCAGCCTCTATGTAGCTGAGTTTAATCAATCCAATTCATTTATTACCATCCAAGTTCAGTCAACTCATAGCTGAATATAAATGCATGCTTTCATTGGCTGCACAGGACAAAAGAATATAGGACAATGGATGAAAACACAGATGTAAGCAATGAGAAAATCAGAGAAAGCAGGAGAGAGATGACTGGTGACAAGATGAAGAAGGAAAAGGGGGGATGTATAGAAACTGAGAAGTATGTTATTTGCACCCTTAAAAATTCATACATACAACAGACAATATAAACCCTAACAAATGAGTAAATGAATAGAGTGGGATGGCAGGACAAAAGAAACTGCCAAGTAAAATAAAAATAATAATAAGCTTTAAAAACAATGGACAGTACAATGTATGTTATAATCTTCATCTACTTTCATATTTAGACAGGCGGGGAGACAGATATTTCTAAAAACAACACCACAGAGGTGCTGCTTTCACTTCTAGGCACCTGTTCCGAGGGGGGGGGGGTTGATGTGAAACAGGACAACAGGATTGATATTCCTTCCTATGAAATGTTCATTTCTGAAGAGAGAGAAAAAGATTTTATGCTTCAAGTGCCAAAATGGTATGAGCTTTCAAAGACCCCTCATGTTCTAATTGATAGAACACCTAGAAATATCTAATTGATATTTTCTTCCTCAGTCCTGGAACCATCATTCTGGTTGGGAAACTTCCCATTTCTCCATGAAAATCCAACAGCTTTCTCTCTCCTTTCTCATCAATATCTCACCAGTCCCACTTCTTATAAATAGATCTTCTTCTTCCTTTAACTACCCAAATAAATTATAAATTATAATAACGTTCATTCATCCAGCCAAACGTAGCTTAGAAATTTGCACTCCTCTTTCCTGCAAAGAAGGTCTTCCAGAATCAAGTGGAGATGTGCAACATATTAGAGAATGGGTTTATCTGCCTTGATTATTCTTTTGCCTGCACTATTTAAAGTCACTGTTCCAAATTATGAAGCATAAATTGAGAAGGCATCAAGATAACTTCGACAGAACTAGAGAGATCTTCTCCCCAAGGATTTCCCATTTGCAACATCCCCAAGCTATGTCAAGAAACAGGCTATTTTTAATCAGGCTAATTCAAAAGTTTGCATTTTCATTGGGGGGGTGTTCATGGGATTTGATGGAGATTGTGACAGAGGGAGGGGCTGTGGCTCAGTGGTAGAGCATGCAGAAAATCCCAGGTTCAATCCCTGGCATCTCCAGTTAATAGATCTGACAGTAGGTTATGTGAAAGAAGAAGAGATTGGATTTATGCCCTGCCCTTCACTACCCAAAGGTGTCTCAGAGCGGCTTACAAACTCCTTTCCCTTCCCCTCCCCACAACAGACACCCTGTGAGGTAGGTGGGGCTGAGAGAGCTCTGACAGAAACAGCTCTTTTTCAAGAACAGCTCTTATCAGAACTACGGCTTGCCCAAGGTCATCCAGCCAGGTGCAAGTAGAAGAGTGGGGAATCAAACCCGGTTCTCCCAGATTACAGTCCGCGCACTTAACCATGACACCAAACAGGCTCTACTGGAGTTCCAGGAAAGCCACTGCCAGTCTGAGTAGACAATACTGACCTTGATGGGCCAAGGGTCTGATTCAGTATAAGGCAGTTTCATGCAAGGTTCTTTTGCTGCTGTGATCAAAACCCGGGCTGCCTGCAGCTCCTTCCTGCTGGACTGCATTTTGTCCTTACCATACAGACCAGAAGGTGGCAGGCTTCCAGCTATGTAGTCAGAGGCTGTTTTGGTTTGCTTAACTCAGCCCTGCAAGGGCTCCCTGCAAAAAAGTAAAAAATAAAAATGGCAAAGGGTATTTTCTTCCCATGTAAACCAGGCTCATCCACACTAGGACAATAGTCCAATGGGAATTGGTCGAAGTTCCTATTGCGCACTCACAGTCCTTAAGAATCCATTGCCCAAGCATGCCAATCTTCCTCCTCTATATCTATGAGTAACATTTTTCTGGCATCAAAAGTAGCAGAACTGCTCCACCCACCAATAACCCAGGAATTTTTATCAGTCAAGGGTGGTATTTCCAAATTGTTCCCTCTCCCATGGTTCCTTGCAAGGAATGTAGAATGTAAATTACAGATGGGTTTCTCTACCAAGTGATTTATTTTTCCTGTGCCTTCCTTGTTATTCCCTGGGTCATGCATTCCTTTCTGTGAACGAGATCGCAAGCTTATCGGCAAGATTAGCAGGTGGTGGATGGGAGCGCTTAGCTTTGACTATAATGAGCTTGACCGTGTGAAGCATCCTTGTTTACCTTCACACGGAGCCGTTTCTTCTCAGGCTTTTGGGCGCGCAGCTGAGTCTCTACCCGCCTGGCGGAAACCATGTACATTGGTTAAGGCCCGATTCGAATGCCTTGCTTGCCCTGACCCAGGTATTCTAACAGTGCGTTTGTTCCTGTTCTAACACATGGCTTTGAATAAATACTACTTTCTTTGAAACGTGTACGGACTTCATTGCTTTGGGAAGGGAGACTGGACACCTGCTTGACTTCATTTTGTCCTTACCATACAGACCAGAAGGTGGCAGGCTTCCATCTATGTAGTCAGAGGCTGTTTTGGTTTGCTTAACTCAGCCCTGCAACGGCTCCCTGCAAAAAAGTAAAAAATAAAAATGGCAAAGGGTATTTTCTTCCCATGTAAACCAGGCTCATCCACACTAGGACAATAGTCCAATGGGAATTGGTCGAAGTTCCTATTGCGCACTCACAGTCCTTAAGAATCCATTGCCCAAGCATGCCAATCTTCCTCCTCTATATCTATGAGTAACATTTTTCTGGCATCAAAAGTAGCAGAACTGCTCCACCCACCAATAACCCAGGAATTTTTATCAGTCAAGGGTGGTATTTCCAAATTGTTCCCTCTCCCATGGTTCCTTGCAAGGAATGTAGAATGTAAATTACAGATGGGTTTCTCTACCAAGTGATTTATTTTCATGTACACGTTATTCTCGAAGGAAGTCACTGACTGACGACACGCCCAAAAGGCAATGGTCACCACTTGTTATGGTGGGAAGGGGTGTCGAATTGCAGTTGACTTATGACAATCCTGTAGGGTTTTCAAGACAAGAGATGAACAGAGGTGGGTTGCCATAACCCTGGAATTCCTTGGTGGTCTCCCATCCAAGTAGAACCAGGGCCCACCGTCCTTAGGTTCTGAAATTTGGTGCCATTGGGTTAGCCTGGGCCATCTGGGTCACCACTTGCTATCTCTCCCTATTGCCTCAGACCCCAAGGCACCCTCTTTTCCCTCACTATGGACCTCTACTGGGTCTCTCAGTACTGCTATCAGAGAGTTGTTCAGAATGACTATTTTCACTCTTTAGAAGCCCTACATATCCCTGGACTCAGAGGGCTGCCTAATGGACATCGCTGCATTTGTGATGTTTTCCTCACATTTATTATTTATTTATTTATTTCATCACATTTCTATACCGCTCCTTCCCGGAGGCTCGGAGCGGTGTACACATATACATTAATCATCTAACTAGGGCCACATATATTTTCAGGGGAGATGGGTGCCTTACCAGGCACCTAAGCAGCGTAGGTTTTTTTGTCTGTGACGGGTCTCGCTGAAACCAGATGGCAGTGTTGTTCGGCGTAGGTCTTTTTCTTTGGCTCGGCTCCCCTGGGGCGGTCCTCTCTGGTGCGCGGCTGCCCAATGAGTTCCACTGGTCTCTGTTCCGCAAGGCTCCGACCGCACTTACGTCACCACGCCTCTGTGTTGCCTGGGCCACGCTTCCATGAGTCGCCTGCCGTCTGCCGCCGAACCGCCTGATCCGTCGCCATGTTCTTACTGCCAGCTCGCCGCTTGTTGTTCGCTGCATCGCCCAGCCGCCACTGCTGCCCTCCAATATTGGAGGTAGGGTGCCCCCCACTCCTAAGGAGTGGGTACCCATTTGTCTACTTGCCATTAGGGCTTTCGAGCTGCTGGGTGGGTGGGAGCTAAGACATGGGCCGGGAGCTCACATTGGGTGGCCCTGCCCACTTCACCTCCTGCCTCAGGGGAATGGGGCTTAGGGTTGTAAGGTCTTACTAGTGTCCCAGTGGGGGCTCCAGCTTCGCTGCTGGGGTCTTCTGGTCAACATAGAATTTTTACCCAAATGCTAGAGTGTCCCCTGCATGACATTGGGTCTGTGTGTGACTGCAATAAAAAAGGCCAATGCTAAGCTATGCTATGCTGGGGATTATTAGGAAGGGTATTGAAAACAGTTCAGCCAATATCATAATGCCCCTATATAAATCGATGGTGCGACCTCGTTTGGAATACTGTGTGCAGTTCTGGTCACCACACCTTAATAAGGATATTATAGCTTTGGAAAAAGTGCAGAAAAGGGCAACTCGAATGATAAAAGGGTTGAAACACTTTCCCTATGAGGAAAGGTTAAAGCACTTAGGGCTCTTTAGCTTGGAGAAACAATGACTGAGGGGTGACATG